AAATGGGCGGAAATCTCTGGCTTGTTTTTCTAGAAATTTCAGAATTAACGCTAGAAATATATATTTTTTAAAACACAAAAATAAACGAATATTTTTATTGGGCAATTTTTTTTTAAATATCAAAATATGCAGGGTGGTCCGAAAGTATTGTCACCCCTTACCAAAAAGTAATAAAAACAATCGAAGTGCAAAGTAATACAGTAATACAAAGCATATGTATTGGATTCAGTTTATTCCCTTTCATTGACGCTCATGTCTCCATACACTTGCAAGCAGCCTCTCTTCCAAACTGTAGGCGCTCGTGTTAGCCACCTGATATAGGAAATTTTATTATTATAAGGGTAATAAGACTTTTGGACCACTAAGTATATATATTCCCTTTTATTATAATGTAATAAAATATATGGAAACTGAATTTTATGTAGATTTTATATATATTTTTAGTCAAGGATGTCAATCTTGCACAATTGTTCCAGCTGACATCTAACTTTTGATTGTGTGCCTCATGCATATAATGATGTGCCAGGCTAAGTTAAGCTGAATAAATAATATCATTAAGTCTCGAATGCATTTGCTTTTAAATAATACTCATTATGTACCTACAACTATTTCCAAGGAATTAATATTTAGATATCAATTTACTATATATTTTTGAAAATATACCCAAATGCATTTTTTTTGCGCGTGTATGGCTGATTATTTAGAAATTTAAGCAGATTATTAACAATGGGATAATAAGTGGAATTATCATCTGTTATGACCGGGGGACGGATTTTCTGCCTCGACATAATGTCGTTTTCAAAAATATTTTATTTATAGTTGTCATATTCTATACTTGTTTTTTTTTTCATTCGGTGCCAGAGTTCTATCCCAGCTCTATGTTGATATCAATGTATCAATCAGCAAGCGAATTTGAAATACTAGAAAATCCCCCACACAAAAAAATCTATGATATTGATTTATTGTTTTGCTTTCGATATATTAACTCTAAAAATATCTCAAGCATAATTAAGAGTAAAAAACTATTTGTCATGCGGACAGTATTCTTATTATTCAAAAGTAACTATAAATCTATATGGTAAGATATTCTATATCTGTAGACATGTAACAAATCTCTATATACTCTGCATATGAATAGTTGGGTCAAAATAAAGTACTCTCGTTTAAGACGTAGTTACGTATCCAATGTGATCCTTTATCTGGGTAATGTGCCGGTGAAATGATAACGCGTGACTTGAATTTTTGTCATTTTTCCCCGGCTAGTGCGTGGTAAGGTCGCCAGTGTTCTTCCTCCGAAACATGAACCTTACTCTATCGTGTGCGATGTATGAGAGACTGACCAACTTCTCTCTGGTGCGGTTGTTTATGTAACTGCATTTATTACAAATCTTTCCCACGCTTGCAAAACAAGATGCAGGTGGGAGGTTAGATTCTTCTGCATGTAACAGCCGCACGTAACCTTAAGTTGAACCGGCGCTTGATTCCTTTGGCCTGAAGTGAAATTGAGTGCAAAGTCTATTCCTGCATAATACTAAACGTCCTTTAGAGTCTCCTATATATTTTGAATATTAAGCAGGGACGGGTTAAGCTAGTTTGTAATATGTTATGAAGGAGCCGGAAATTTTTAAAAAATTACGCATAAATATTCACTCATAAATTACTTACTATTACAGTGATAGAATTGATAAAACAGGATAATATTTACCCTCTATAAATAGAATAAACAAACCCAGAAAGATATTTTTATGCTTTTTATGACTTTGATATAATATTACTTAACGAGGTGAATAATTAAAAATTGGTCTCCCTTGAATAAAAGGTCGCCTCATACGCGGAAATAATATACTGTGTTTTGAACAATGAAAATATTAATTCAAATTTTCAGACACACTGGGTTGTATATTAATATTTTTTTGTTTTATTATTTCAATTAAGTTCCTCGACTAGTTTCGGCCAGCATGGCCATCATCAGGAGGAAAGAAATCTCTGATTGTTAGTAGCAGAGAACTACAGGAGTGAATGACTGTTTCTGAAGAAAATGAACTTTATCTGTAGTTGTCATGTTTTTTGTTTTTTATCGTTAAATTTGGTTAGTCCTTGTGTTGGTCAAACGGCCTCTTTCAAGTTGTTTTACGATAGAGGATGGCAGACTTTAAGATTCCCTTCCTTGGTAACTTTGACAGTTTTATTGGTTGCTGGGAATGGGATGTGTTTGTTAAGTGTATGTTATCTTTTAGATCTTTGGGAGCCTGCGTGATGTATGTGTATATATTAGTATGAGTGTGTGTGTATATATATATGATATATATATATATATATATATATATATATATATATATATATATATATATATATATATATGTATGTGTTTTTATGACTGGTTAAGATTAGACTACTTATATTGGCATATTATTTCAAATTTCTTTAAAAAATATTTATTTAATTTTAGCTATTTCTAATTATATGCACTTAAATTAATTAGAGAAAAATTGAATTGTAAGTTTATGGTTTTAAACAACAAATTGAAACAACATTAGATGAACGTTAGTTTCACGATGAACAATTCTCTCTAAAATTAAGTTGACAAAGATTATCATCTTGAAATCTTAAGCCACATATAACTGCCTGTAAATTGTTTCCGCAAAATATAACAGACGACTGCGATGGCACGATGAATTGGAAATCAGTCCCAGCTAAGATAAAAATGTGTACTTACTTTCCCATCTACTTTCTCCAGAATAAATTTAGACTCATCATATAAGGCAACATTCTTCTATTGATACAATGTATAGTTCCGATATTTTTCCGAGTTTTTTGGGGGGCATTTGTCTCCTGAAAATCTTGTTAGTGGTACAAAATTTTATAACAGAAGTACAACGAATATAATTTTAAAAATACGGAAAAAAAGCCGACAATAAGGAAAAAAATCTGACTCGTGACGTTGATACGAAAATAGAAACACAAAAAAGAAAAAAAAAGCCAAAAAAGTAACCAAAAAGAAATGAAAAAGAAAAAAAGAGTTTAAATAAGCTAACCGATTTTACACTCCATTCATCAGAGTTCGATCGATGTAAATAAATAAAATCATTGTCCACACCAATTAAAAAAAAAAAAAGAATATGAAAATAGAAAGAAAATACACCCGTCTCATTATTATATAGGATGCGATGGGTAAATTGTCGCCATTTTATATATTGATATAATTTCGCGCATGCGTGTTGTTTGTTTTTGAATTCGTCGACTGCACAGTATCGTAGGGTCAGTTGGGCACTATCTGTGAGAAAAAGAGCACCATGACGCAATTCACTCCGACAGAAATTTAAAAACGGCATGCAGTACCGCTTGGCATTCGCGCCGGAATCTCTAATACGAGCATTTCAAAGTGTTTGTTTGTCAATATGAGGACAGTGAAGAGGATCGGGAAGTTTTGGATGAATCTAATTGTGATTACGCGGGTTTTGGGAGTGATCACTAGTGATGGCGACGTTTTGCTAACATTCATCATCCCATAGGGCCTCGGACTCAACATGGAAGTCTACATCAAATGCCTTGAAGAGGTAGTGCTGCCCTGGGTCAAGTGGGTGACTGCTGGAAGACCCTATGTCTGGCAACAGGATTCTGCACCATGTTACACAAGTAGGAGAACACCATCGTGGCCACCAGACAATTTCTGCGACCACATCATACCTGACATATGGACTTCCCAGACTGCAACCACCTTGATTATGAGTGAGCAAGAGAGCGACAAAACATTTAACACCAAAGCTGACCTGAGGACAGGCATTATGGCAGCATTCACCAACTTAAACAAGGAAACCAACGAGAAGAAATGCAGGAAATTTTGATGTCGTCTAGAGGCCATCGTGGAAGCCAATGGCTTATTTTCTTGAATTAATTTACTCATTTTCTCCTCAGAGATATTTTTGTGTAAACTTGGTAAATATATCTGTTTAAATGAGACGTCAGTGTTATTTTCATTTTTGCTTAATTTAGATGACAATTTATCCATTGCACCCTGTATTGAGAAGTGGATATTTTCTGTTTGCGGATCCAATTAAGACAAGGCAACCAATTCTTCAGGATATATGCGGCGGATAATTATTTTGATTTAATAAAAATTGTTTCTAGGATTTTTAGATGGTAGTTAGAACGTGATTTGTACAAGACATAGAACATATTCCTGCGGAGTTGTTCCGTGATGACAGACCAGGAATGTGATGGCATACGTTTGCAATCCATCGTCATCATCATTATCTGCCAGACTTCGGTTTAGCATTTTTCGCACCACGCCCGCCAAAAGTCCCTGATTCCAACTTCCGTATCAGTAACCTATACGCTACTGGCAAATGCGATAAAAGATTTCAATATTCTTACTGCCCTATCAAAATAATTGCAGCCTTCCACTGAGCTCTCGAACGCAAAAAATCCTCCTGAGACTTCACTGTTGCTGTCCAAGCTGAGAATTAGTTTTATTTTTTTTTACATTTTTTTTTACATATGAATAAAAAGTGCAATTGTTTTCATCAAAAAAGAATCACATCCGTTCTCATTAGAAAGAAATAATGAAAATGGAAATAAAAGCAGGAGTTTTGGGTGCAAGGTTATGGCGGAAAATAAGCCTTAGTAATGAGAGAAATAAGAGAGAACAGTATAATCATATGAGAGAAATAAAACATAAAGATACGATAATAAGAGAAATAAAAGTAAGCAATATAATGAGGAGAGAAATATGACAAAACACTATAATAATCAGAAAAAAGAAATATATAATGAGACTAAAATAGAACAAGAATAAGCGATATAAAAACGAACACTATAATAAGTAGAGAAATAAAAAAAGAACAATATAATAACGAGAGAAATAAGATAGAACAATATAATAAGGATAGAAATAAAACAGAACAGTATTAGATGGAGAAAAAAAAAGATAGAGCAATATAATAAGGAGAGAAATTGGAAAGAACAATATAATAACATTAAAGAAATAAGAGAGAATATAATCAGATGTGAAATAAAACAGAACAATATAATAACGAGAGAAATAAGAGAGAACAGTATAATAAGGATAGAAATAAAAGAGAACAATATAATAACGAGAGAAATAACAGTATAATAAGATAGAAATATAATAACGAGAGAAATAAGAGAGAACAGTATAATAAGGATAGAAATAAAAGAGAACAATATAATAACGAGAGAAATAAGAGAGAACAGTATAATAAGGATAGAAATAAAAGAGAACAATATAATAACGAGAGAAATAAGAGAGAACAGTATAATAAGGATAGAAATAAAAGAGAACAATATAATAACGAGAGAAATAAGAGAGACAGTATAATAAGGATAGAAATAAAAGAGAACAATATAATAACGAGAGAAATAAGAGAGAACAGTATAATAAGGATAGAAATAAAAGAGAACAATATAATAACGAGAGAAATAAGAGAGAACAGTATAATAAGGATAGAAATAAAAGAGAACAATATAATAACGAGAGAAATAAGAGAGAATAGTATAATAAGGATAGAAATAAAACAGAACAATATTAGATGGAGAAAAATAATATAGAGCAATATAATAAGGAGAGAAATTGGAAAGGACAATATAATAACATTAAAGAAATAAGAGAGAATATAATCATATGTGAAATAAAAGAGAAGAATATAATAATGAGAGAAATAAGAGAAAACGATACAATTAAGAGATAAATAAAAGATAATATAACATGAGAGAAATAAAAGCGAAAGATATAATAATACGTGAGAAATACGAGAGAACAATATAATTTTTGCCATATATAAAGAAGAGAAAATTTAAAACAGCCTGTATTTTGGATGATTATAAATAGTCTCAAGACACCTGCTTTTTTTATCGACCGAATTGCGCTTCAACGAATGCCAGAAGCAAGTGAATCAATATGAAGGGAATAAACAGTTAACTCATTTTGTTAAAGAAACGGACATTTTTACAGCTTGATCCGTCAGCAGGGTAACACGATAACACTTTGAGATAGATTCAATGAAATTTTCTTCGAGCCCTTCAAATCCACCTCAGTTTTCATCACAATTCATCAGGTTTAAATCACGTTTAAAAGGTGAATTATTAAAATAATCAGTGTTCGAGCCTAGGTAAAAGCTAGTTTTTTTTTTTTTTTTTAAAAGTGGTGTTTTGCTGTGTGTAGTAAGCTGACGCCAGACTGTGATGAATGTCACAACACTTGAATTAATACGATTATATGTCGGTCTAAACTGAATCGAAATATCTAGTGTTGAGAATAACCAACTCAGAGAATAACATGGTAGTAATGTTAACCGGGCTAACAACGGTAATCCACTATTACCGAGCCCAATAAAAAGAGTTTCATTTCGAATATGCTGACAGAACATGGATCCCTCCTGAAAAATCGGATGATCAAATATCAGTAAAGGAAAGGTCAGAGTATTTTGAAGCAACCATTCGTAAAGTATTAGTAATTCATGGAAACCAAATTAAGAAGCAACATTATTTAAAATATAATAATAGAAATCACGTTGGTCATCATGGCTCTCCACAATCTCCTGAACTTCATAGATCATAATAAATGTTGTCTTTTTGTTATCTCTCATAAACCCTGTTGTGCTTTTCAAGATACTCAAAATAGTTAGGTAGGCTATACGTTATTTTTCTATGTCCTTCTTGTCCTCAATCTGTTCTGTGAGAATCAAAGATCTCTTTTCTCATTATTTGCCGTAGAAATTTCAACTGTCTCTTCTTGATGTTAAGCATAAATGTCCTTTTCGTTCCATTTTCTCTCGAACTTCGTTATTGTTCCCATGTTCAGTGTATGGTATTCTCAGCATCCTTCAGTAGAACCGCATTTTTAACTTACCTTATCCTCATCCTTATCTCTAAAGGAAGAGAAAATATATTGCATTGTTGGAATTGATTCCTGAATATATAGTTTTCATTTTAAACGTTTTGACATTTTTTTTTAACCTGTGGTATTCTCAACTATATTAGGCTGATGGTAAAAACCCAAAAAACAAAAACAGCTTCATCTTGACAGAAATGATAGAAGTTATTATTTTGCAACACACCGACGCGTGTTGAAATTATTTCTGCATTGAAACTATCACTAATATTTTTTGTCGAGATTTACACACTGGATGCTTCCATTTCCCAAATCAATTCATGAAATTTGGAAAAACTGATTTGTTAGGAAAAATACTTTGACAAAAAACCGACTTTGCGGTTTTATGCACCCAAGCAAAACCAGCTATACTTTCTAAACACTTAATTGTTTGTACTTTCGATCGGTCAGTGTATGACTATTTTAGAAGGTGTCACGGACGGATAGACTAACGGATGTAACTGAATTTTATATATAGACTAGACTACCCGTAACACGTTGGGTCACTGAGGCTTCAGCTCATAAAACATTAAAATTGAGTTCAACATTAAAAAATTGTCAGTTTGAAAGAAGTTGAAGTAAAAATACTTAGTGTATAAACAACTCTTTTTTTTAAAATCTTATTCGCTTAAAATATTTTTTTAAAATCAGATTAACTTAAAAATATATTTTAAATATGCCCAAAGTATTTTAAAATGATATTCACTTGAAAATAGTCTTAAATATGCCAAAAAATATTTTTAAATAATTAAAATGATGTCTGTTTAAAGAAAGCTGTAATATAAATGAATAATCTACAAACAACTGGTACGAAACAGTAAAGAGTGATTTCTTTGTGTCTTTAAATGAAAAATATTTATTTAAAAAAATTTCTGAAGAAAGTTAAAATGAAAATACTTACTGTATAAATACCCATAAATCATTATGCACCGGACATACGCACCACACAAGCACGCACGCAATCATAGACTTTTAGTATTATATAGATAGATGCCTTTAAAGCTCAGGTTTGATTGACATGTTTTTATAAAGAGTTTTTTTTTTTTCGAGAGTCAAATGTTTTTCTGTTAAGTTTTTTCAAGAATATATTACTAGTAATATTTGTTTTTTGCAAAAATGCTTTACTGGTAATATTTTTTCCAAGATTTATTGCTGGTAATATTTCTTTTTTCAAAGATGCATTTCAAGTAATAATTTTTCCAATAATTTATAGCTGATAATATTTTTTTCAAAAATGTATTGCTGGTATTTTTTTTTTCAAAAATGTATTGATAGTAATTTTTTTTCAAAAATGTATTGATAGTAATTTTTTTTCAAAAATGTATTGATAGTATTTTTTTTCAAAAATGTATTGATAGTAATTTTTTTTCAAAATGTATTGATAGTAATTTTTTTCAAAATTGATAGTATTTTTTTTTTCAAAAATGTATTGATATTTTTTTTTCAAAAATGTATTGATAGTAATTTTTTTGTATTGATAGTAATTTTTTTCAAAAATGTATTGATAGTAATTTTTTTTCAAAAATGTATTGATAGTATTTTTTTTTCAAAATGTATTGATAGTAATTTTTTTTCAAAAATGTATTGATAGTAATTTTTTTTCAAAAATGTATTGATAGTAATTTTTTTTCAAAAATGTATTGATAGTATTTTTTTTTCAAAAATGTATTGATAGTAATTTTTTTCAAAAATGTATTGATAGTAATTTTTTTCCAAAAATGTATTGATAGTAATTTTTTTTCAAAAATGTATTGATAGTAATTTTTTTTCAAAAATGTATTGATAGTAATTTTTTTTCAAAAATGTATTGATAGTATTTTTTTTTCAAAAATGTATTGATAGTAATTTTTTTTCAAAAATGTATTGATAGTATTTTTTTCCAAAAATGTATTGATAGTAATTTTTTTTCAAAAATGTATTGATAGTATTTTTTTTTCAAAAATGTATTGAAAGGAAATTATGTAAAAAATAATAGTTAAACAAAATACAGATTTCCCCATTAAATAACTAACATGTCGTCACATTAATCGTTGTAACATTAATTGTAAGAGATGAACAGTCTAATAGGCAAATTAAGAATCAAATGTGCCAAAATCAAGCAAGTATAACGATTTAAATATGCGGTAAGTATTTTAACAGAGGACGGTAAGTGTGACGCTGAAATCTAAAAATGCATTGAGGAAGTGAAAGATGCCTTCCATAAGATGAAAGAATATTAAGAAACAAGAAAATTTTGTTAGAAACAAAGAAAAGAGTACTTAAATGTTTTGTCATATCGGTCATGCAATATGGCAGTGAAGGCTGGACAATCTCCTCACAAATAAATAACAGGCCTGAAGCAACAGAAATAATGGTTTTACTGAAGGATGCTGGGAATATTATAGACCGAATGTATGAGCAATGACGAAATTCAAGAGAAAACGTAAGCAAAAAAGACACTTATGCTTAACATCAAAAAGAGATAAGTGAACTGTCTGTGGCACATAAAGAAGAAAGAGGGCTTGGAGAATTTGACACTGGCAGGACATATTGAATGCAAGAGAAAGAAAACAGCGAATGACCTACCTAACGAACTTGTTCTATTACTCATATGACAGACTCAATGCAAGAAGGACAGAGAAAAACAACGCGTAACATAGTTGACGAGCTTGAGAATATGGAGGTGGAACAAGGTTTAGAATTCAAGAAAAGACAGAATTTAAATTACCAGAAATTGCGGAGAGCCATGATCGCCTACGTCCTGAGAAGATACGGCGCATATAGAAGAAGAAAAACTTAAATATTTGAAAGAAGAGAAAGAGATACGACAAAATTTACTAACAGTTTACAAAATTTACTAACAGTTATAAATTGCAGGAAATTGTGGAAAGCCATGATCACCCACGTCCTGGAGTAATGTAATTGTCACGAGATTGTCTTTCTCCCTATATAGCAATGATTTATAAACTTGGACGTTTTATTAGGATATTTTCCCGCCATCGTGAAATATTTGGATAATTATGTTATATGGTTATCAACAGGATTTTGTCGGTCATTATCTCACAGAACAATAGCGTTGGTAAGTGAACTTGATATGATAATAGACGTGAGTTCAATCCCTGGTTCTATGAATATCTTCACACTCACTGAAAACTAGACTGCGTAATAACTTAATAGATTAATCAAAACGGGATAATCCTCGATATGGACAGCAGAACAATCTACCCTAGTAAATTAAATACAGCGTTCAGTTCGAAATCCCCTGAAAGTTACCCGGATGAACTCTGACGAAGGCTGAGAGAAAACAGGGGAAATGTGATAAAAATAAGAATATGAATCTGACTGCAGATAATGTAAATAAAACTCCACATCTCAGAGATTTAGCGAAAATTAAATGGGTATTTTATTTATATTATCTACGATGCTTTCCATAAATTATTTTAGATTTATTCAAAATAGTTATTGCTTTGTTTATTAAAAACCAATTCATTTTCTATTAAAATGTCCTATCTTTTGTTTCTTTTCAAGAATTAATGCTATAATTATTACTGAATTGTGTAAACGATATAGTACACAGTCTCCTGCAAATTCTTAACCGCTACACAAACCTTTATATTGTATTGATTAAACGCTTGCAAAATTCTCTCGGGATATAAATTGAGTAAATTGATATTAGCAAAAATATAGAACTAAAAACTATAAATTAATAAATTCAAATGAAACTTAAACTGTAAATCGTTTTACAACGGTTCTCTAATTAGAAACGTTCTTAATGTTTTCACTTAAAGAGAATTATGTATTTTTAGTAACAAGAAAATCAATTGCACTGAATGACGTCACCTTTTTAGGTGCTTCAGATTTCATTTTTGTATTTGAACAAAGAGAACCCCAGACTGTAAAGACATAATCCTTTGTATAAATTAATTA